CGTTATTAGAGTGACACCAACCCTCACGTTTTTCGGGAAACACATACCCAATATCCAGAAAAAATTAACGTTTGGGCAGGAATATTGGGAAACCATATTGTAGGACCTCTATATATTGTTCAAAATTCAACAGGGGAACTGTATTTGAATATGCTGGAAACTACTGTTGACCCTCTCATCACTGAAATCGTCGAAGCGAGTCCCAATGAATTCGATATGGGTATTGTTTTCCAACAAGATGGAGCACCATCACAGTACTCCAGACAAGTGAAACTATTTGGATACTACTTTTCCTGGTCGTTGGATTGGCTGTCGAGATCCTACAGAATGTCCAGCCCGCTTGCCAGATTTGACACCTTTGGACTTTTTTAATGGAGTTATTTGAAGCGAAAGGTGTATGAAACTAAACCTGCTCCTATATTGGATATATGGCACAGCATAATAAATATTTGTAGAGATATTAACGTTACTGTGTGTGAAAATGTTCAGCGTGAATAGGCGTGAATAGGATAGGCTGTTCATGTGTCAAGATGTTCAAGGCAACCATTTCGACCATCTTCTGAACTGACCTCAAGCTTATTACCTCATATTATGTAGTTGAATGTCACTGTATTCAGGCAATTATTAAAAGTTCTGCCATTTTGTAGTAGTTGAAGATATTGACATTATATTACAGTGTTTTGAAGCATTTGTCAGGAGCTTCTAAAAGATATGTCACAATACCCCCTTTCATTGAATTTCTTTTCCCGATGGCGCCCATTCGCCATCTTGAAAGTTTCATTTGTCAATTTCACTTCAAAATAAAGTATTCATGCATCAATTTCATCATCCCTAATTTCACTATTTTGCGTTGACCCGTTGAGAAAATAAAAGGGGGGACATTAAAGAAATGCACTGTATATTTGCTTTTTTGTGATGAATATTGTACCTCTGTTGTAATTGTTGAATGATCATTATTATTATTATTATCGATTCAAATATTCCAATAGATATTCTGCTGTTCCGAACGCAGACAACAAAAAATCAAAAAAATATGATAAATAGTTTCAACCGTGCTTCAGTTATAAATGGCGTAACTAACACGATTTTGAGAATTTGTTTTACATACTTATTCAATATAACAATAATATTGAGGAATAGATACAATAAAATGAAAATGAGCAAAAAATTACAAATTGAACAATTAAAATTGAAATTTTCTTCCCTCTTCCCTTTCTCCACTTCACCGGTTTACTGGGGGTTTTTCAGCTCTATTAACAGTCTCCATATGTGGCGTATATCTACACTAGCTTGGCTGAATGGACAACATATGAATATGCACCTTCATTGAACTTCCTCTTGAACCAGTATTCTTTCTTGTGGATGATTTATGCTTGGTACCACTTGATGCTATGTTGATGAGTCCGAACATGCTCTGCTATTACCAATATTGCTGTATATTTCTCTTGTTTTCGGCAATGCGGACTTTCAATGCCTTCTTAGTTTTACCGATATAGGAAATTCCGCACTCACAGGGTATTCGGTAAATGCAATTCTTGGAATCGCAGTCCGCGTTTGGTGGCCTGGTTTTCGTGAGGCGCCACGGATGGTGTTTCCGGATCTGAAGCAGGTTCTGACGTTGTACTTGACCCAATTATTTTTATCCTTTACGACAATCTTCCGACTCAGGGAAGGGCTAGCACTGGTTATAACGGCTTCTCTTCCTTGTGAGGCTGTTGCTGTCTTTTAGCCAAAATCTGTTCCATCATCACTTCGGAGTAACCACACCGTTGAAGACCTTCATTCGTATTACAGAGCCCGAAAACACGATCCACTAGAGTCTTGATGATTCCTTTTTTGGTAGATTGATGGTGGTTGGGTTCGTGATCTACCAAAAGAATAATCACTAGTGCATCGTGCTTTCGGGCTCTGTAACACGAAGGAAGGAACTAGGCATCATCAAAAAAGATCTTCAACGGCACAAAGTGAACTTGTAGAAGGATCTCATTGGACTTCATTCACAACTACATCTGGAGCCACTCTGGGTAGACCTTCGCGAGATCGAATTCCAGGAACGCGTCCACCTATCATCGCGCCGCTCCAGTTGCCTTGCAGCTAAACAAATATTTTTTCTGGCAACATCTCAGTAATAGTATATTTCTGCGTATTGCCTGAGAAAATAACTCATATTGCTGTATAAAGGTTCTTCAAATCACTAGGTAATCCTGGTCCAATTCAATGCCACAAAAACCCAGGCATCGGTTTTCTTCAAGCAGATAGATGTCTCCAAACCGGATATAATAATGTCAGGTCAGATATTTCCGCTTTCTGCTTCGATAAGTTTGTTGGAGGTTAAAATGGACACCAATATGTCCTGGCACAATTATGTCGCTGGAATTGCAAAGGCTGCTTCTCAAAAGCTTGGAACACTGTGTTCCGAACCAGAAAACAGTACAAATATCAGCAACTTTTGATGCTTTTTTAAGCTCAGATCAGACTTTTTTGGAGTATTGTTCTCATGTATGGAGCTCTGCTTCTGAGCATACCCTGAAGTTGCTGAATTCCATCCAGACAAGAGCCATCCGTCTGATTGGAGACCTGAACATCACGTGCAACCTTGATAGCTTGGCACATCGAAGAAAGGTTGGAGATTTGTCTCTTTTCTATAGATACTTTGATGGAAGGTGTTCAAGAGCAGTACATATCAGAAATACGCGACGGACTGTGGCTGCTCATCGTTTTGAGGTTCAATTCGGTATACATCGAACTTCACTGTTCAAGAACTCTTTCATCTGGAGAACTGCGTTTATGTGGAATAAACTTTCTGAGAACGTTTTTCCAAATGGATTCAATCTCCAGCGATTCAAATCCATTGTGGATCGCCACTTTCGCAAAGGCACCGCTCTGAGAGCGCCTTGAGGATTTTCCTGTAGTGCTTGTGTTTTGTCTTTAAAAAAAACACACGCTCAAGTCGGTCATAAGACAAATCAAAGTGATAGAAGTCGGAAATGATGAGATGCGAGTGGATGTGACATGTACAAAAACGAAAGAACCTAACCTTCTATATTCAGCCACAACGAACACCGAAAGAGCGACAAAAACTAAGTCGACACAAAGGAAAACGCAAGCGGTTTTCGAAGATTGAAAGCTAATTTTCAAGGCATTGTATTGAAGCTGGAGAGCAAGATTTCTGAAATTCATTTTGGAATAATCAATTTGTATCAAGTGTGTATTTTTAATCTAGTACAAATACTCAGTACTATTGCTACTATGATTCTTCACTGGCACGAAACTTGAGGGTTAGACATTTATCAATCTGATTTGACCATTATTTTGATTCATTCTGGTGGGCTTGAGGTATTTCTCAACTGAATTAGCCTTGAGAATGACGAAATGGCAATAATAATTTGTTTCGTATCAAATAAATGACTTGAACAATTTCCACCTCAGTACTTTGGGAAGATTCAGGAAATAATGGCATATTATGTACAACTTATACAAATAAATCCCCCAATCTCTTGAAAACAGGGAGATTGCGGTTGCTGTATTTCTTCATATTGAAGGAGCATTTGACAATGCACTATCTAAATATATAGGATCGTCTCTGACTAGGAAATGTATAAAATCGATCATAACTGGTTGGGTCTATGCCATGCTGGTAAACAGAACTGCAACTACGACTCTTCAAGGCTAGGCCATTAGGTTCACGGTCACCAGAGGCTGCCCTCAAGGTGAAATAATGTCTCCCCTTCTGTGTCGCTCCTGATGGATAGTCTGCTTGATGCCCTCGACAGAAAAAAAGTAGATCTGCAAGCTTATGCAGATGACCTTGTAATATCCTCCAAAGTACGTAGGACGGTGTTCACAGTTAGTGCCTGAGGGAGCAGATATCTGTCAATCCCAGCAAAACTGTGATAATCACCTTCACCAGGAGGAGAAAACTGGACAATCTAGCGCTACTTTCCCTCAATGATGAGGTCATTCCATTTGGAACGGTGTTGAAATATCTTGGCATTGTCCTTGATGAAAGACTCACATGGAACGCTTACTTGGAAAAAGTTTTATACGAAGCCAGACTGTCTCAAGGACATGTCGAAAGATTTCTGGTAACACTTGGGGTTTAGGTCCCAAACAAATCCATTGGACTTATGTGATGATTGTCAGACCAATGATCACTTCTGGTGCAGTTGCAAATTGCCAGAAACGACTATCCTCGATAGGAAGACTTAACAGATTGTCTCTGGTCTGAATTTCTGGCCATACTAGCCTGGAAGGCAAAGGAAGGTGCTGCAAGCAGCTTCATCGGACCAGAATCTGTCATTGGCATCACTTTAGGCTTTGACAGCAGAGTGCAGAAGTATAACACCTGATATGCTACAGAATGTTAGGAATAGATTTGAAAAAAATCTGTATTATTGTATGGAAGCGAATGGGTCACATTTTCAGCACTTGCTGAAGTAGGATTCTACTAAGTCAATTACGTCAATTACACATTTCAAAGTACTGGGTTGTAGTTGTTTTTCTTCATAATACCTACATGTTTGAGTGAAATACAACAAATCAGGTATCATTGGAAAGATAATTTTGTGTCCTTCCAAATGATATATCACTCTACCCCACTATCCATTTAAAATTTTAGGGTTGTTACTCACCCTCGCTAGGGGGTTGAAGGCACAGGTAGAAAAATACATCTAAAATGTGTCCTCTTCATTTTTGCATTTTTGCGTTAAGTTACAAAAAAAGGAGAAAAGCAAGGTGCATACTTTTCGTTGGACCACTCTGTATATTAATTATTTTCCCTGAAAATTGCGAGGATTTTTATCTAAATCCTTCTTTGAATTCAGGACGTTTCTTTTTTTCATTTCTTACTACATTCCCTAACTACTTCTGTCAGTACCACCATGTAAATAAACTACATTAATGGAAGAAGATAAATTTGAATTCATTAGATAGGCTAAATAATTTCAACTCGTCAAGTTATTCTATCAAAGGTGAGTAGTATTTCGCTGCATAAAATAAGAATGGAGGCTTCCAACTGTATGGGTGGCAAAATCGTTACCGAAAATCATTCGGTACAAATTCTTGCGGTGATTTTTGGTGAGTAATTTTCCTAGCCGAAAAATGTAGAGTACATAAAACAGTACCTACGATATCAAATTATCAGAAGAGCAACAATTCAATACTTCACAATTCAATATATTTCATGATTTTTTTTTCAAATTTATGTTTTTTCGACCATATCATACTATCTATGTTGAAAGCGATGAGGTCTTCATTTTCGAAAGAATTCCTGAAGAATGACTTCTGTGTTTTTTCAATACATAAAACCACTTCATACCTATAGATCATGTAATTGAAAGATTTGAAAATGGGCAACACACAGAAGTAACCCTGTGAGACTCAAAAGCTTTCGGTTGTGTGTCTTAAGAAAAACTAACAAACTTTTTTGGAAACAGGAAAGTAACCCTACAATCAATTCAATCATACGCACACAACAGATATATCACTAGTTTTTTTTTTTTTAATCGTATAGGATTTTCATAAAATAACCCATGGAGTCTCCCAGGGTAATGAGTTGAGCCCTCTTATATTCATAATTTATCTTAGTGACATTTTTCAATTTATGTCCTCCGACAAATGTATATCTGAAGCTGACAAATAATAAGTATATATCGAGTAGTTTGGTGAATTGGCATTATTTTAAACTGGAATAAATGTATCTATAGTTAAGTATAATGAACATATAGACTAGTTATGTATCTTTTTTTCACTTTTTTAATTGCAGCGACTGAAAAAAATCATCAATTCTCTTATATCTATTCACGGTACTGTTTATGAGGCAACTCTATCCAATCAATTGGGGTTTTTGATCTTCATAAATTGGTATAAAATCGAAACCGCAAGGTGTATAATATTTACAAAAATATCACACATGAAAAGTACAGTAATATTACTATATTTACAAACTATGAGTTGAAAACAAAACCAAAATGTTTGTACAGACAGGGCAGAACAACTCAACAGATATACAATGGTATTCCAGATAGTAGTATTCAAGTAGAACATCATTCAACAAGTCTTAGGACTTACTGAGAAAATAACATTCATTTCACTCATTTATATAATAACCTTCTAGTGCAGGGGTCTCCAAACTTTGAAGCCTTCAGGCCATAATGAGTTTTTCAGTTTGTTCCAAGGGCCAATTTCTGTCCTTAACTATATTTCTAGACTAGGATAGTCGCAAAGTGCGTGACCTAAGCAAACTTACGCT